ATCATCCCTTGGGGCGCTCTGGTGAACAAACGTTCCCCCAGATACTGGTGGTCACCCCTGATAAACTTATAGGTGGCCATCAGATCACCCCTGAGCCTGTGCTTTTCCAGGCTAAAGAGCCTCATGACTCTCAGCCTGTCGTCATAAGGTCTGTTTTCCTGACCTCTGATCATGCGCATGGCTCTTCTCTGGACTCTCTCAAGCTTCTCCACATCCTTTTTGAATTGTGGAGCCCAAAACTGGATGCAGTACAGAATAAAGCATGTTCCAGGAAGATACGGATTTGAATCTTCTTAGGCTGATAAGGAAATTGAACTACAGTTTCCTGTTCTTTGTAGTATGCCACTGCCACCTCCTCATCCTCCTCATAGAAGGAGTGAACTCTTTTTAGTTCTTTCAAACAATACTTGTAGGTGCTTACCATAATAATGGTTCTGAGCTGATGCCACTATTGCAGCCTAACACTTGGAGACAGATAAGAGTTCACAATTGTTTTACTGAGAGTCGTGTAAGGAGCATCTCTCCTAGAACAGTTTAGGGGATCACTCTTGACCTTTAATCATAATTCTGTTGTCTATAAAATGCATAGACACTGTGTAGGAAAAGCCTCCCCTCAAGACTTTAGCTGGATCAGAGCTTAGTGTTGTCCATCACAAAATGTGTCTCATTTTGGTTTTGTTGTGGTATCCCCTGTGTCTAACCTACCTTGAGTTCATTTACTTTTTCTTCATTAAAACTTTTGGGAAAGGCAAATGTTTCTAATCTGTAGCATCAGCAAATATGCTGTAAATATGTTTCCACAAGGGTAATGTAGTCAGTGTGCTGACTTTATATATTCTTAATCTTCCTGGATTCATCTAAGTATATCTCGTGGTTGGTTAGAACTGTTCTCAGGTATTGAGAATTCTTGTCAGCTTCTAGCATTTGAAGTCAAGGTCAGACATAAAGCTGTGCATTGGTAGAGAAGAGTTGCCAATCTGCTGGAATTTCAGAGTAGACATGTCCAGAGTTTATAAAGGCAAACAGCTTAGGTCAGATTTTCATTCCTGGATTATTCCAAGAGAGACTGCCAGAGTACATGAAAACAGATTGCCCAGCTCAAATTTTCATTCTTGAATGGAGATTTGGATTTCAGCATGTACATCATGCAGGAAAATTCTTATAAGAAAACTACACATGTCCCCTTCTTCGAGAGATTATGCACTTCTTTGGATCAAATCTGAAAGCCGTGTCTTAAAAAAACCCAAAAATGTGTGCTGTATAAGGCTGAACTGTTTTAGCAGAAGCATTTATAGTGATGGTTTCTTTATTGTATGTTCATTTTAACAAATTTCCATAAGGAAAACTCTCTTTTATCTCTGCTGATGCTAAATGAACTCATTTTTGTCCTCGTGTTACTTTACCTTTCATGGAGTAAACAGTAAATAATGTAAGTGATAGATTAGATACTGAAATGAAAGAGCATATAAAAGGTACACCTAATTTTTGGCTAAGTGTGTTTCATTCTGTTTTCATCAAATCAAGAAAACCTAGATAATTATCTGTGTTACAAATGCAGCAAAACTTACCTCCATATCCTGCTCTTTTTGCTCTGGCAGATCTTCGATATAGATCTAGCTGTCGATGGGGTTTCCATTCATGCCTACCATGCCGTCCATATCTGGTATGCATCTCAGTGAAGTGAAATGCACATGACAGTCTGGCTTTTTCAGTGTCATGCCACCTAGTCTATTCAATTCCTCAATCAAAACCACAGTATGACAGATTTTTCTTGTACTGCCAGGTACACTACATATAGTATAAAGGCAACCCCTGCTTAATGCTGTTTCACTTAGCGCTATTTCGCTATAACACTCATTTGAAATTTATACCTGATTCATTTAGCGTTCAGCGAGTTTCGTTATAACACTCTTGGTCACCATCTTGGGTCATTAAAAACAATTGTGGTCGCCATCTTGGGTTGTTAAATACTTTCAGTTTCTCTTAAAACTCATTTCACTTAACGCTCAGTTTTTCAGGAAACAATTAATGCCAAGCGGGGGTTGCCTGTACTGCAATTTTTCACAATTTCTTTCCTTTGTAATAAACTTCTATTCTGTTTTTGCTTCTCTTATGAGCTGTTTAAATAAAATGAGGTGTATTTTTTTAATTGGTAAGAAATAATAATGGTGGATTATTTATGTATTACTATGTAAGAATGTTGTGCTCATTTTGCATTTTTATAGCATTATATCTTCAATGCAAAATAGCCTTAATGCTAGTCTGGCTGACCATAGAAAGATCACCTTATTGTCAGTGGATCCTTGGAAATTATACAGCTATCATACTAACTTTTATGCTTCTAGTTGCTGGCATCAGGTAGTATGGCCAGGTCTTCTCTGCAAACCAGCCATTCTTAAATACCATGTTGACCACAGAGACTATGATGGCAAACAATATAAATTAAATCAGCCTTTGTAATATTCTAGTTTATAGCCCAGAAGTTAACTGACAGACAATTCAGGTAAAGTTAAGATGTTGGCCACTATCCATATTCTTCCAAATCATGCTTACCTTACTCAAAAAAGTATTCTCATTGGCTTCATTTGAGTAACTTGCATGGGCAAGACGAGTAGGATTTTACCTACTACACCTCTGCAGAGAAGAAATTACATATGGACTGTCAATCCACCAGGATGTGTCTTGCATTTATTCAATATTAATCAACACTGGTTGTTCTGCTTGGATCTTTCAATTAAATGATGTGCAAAATGCCTTTGTGAATGGACAGTTCCTTATTGACGAGGCATCTCAGGAGGCTCTATGCAGTGTTTATTCCAACAGGTTCTTGAAATATACTGAAATCCTGTAATTTGTTCTTCATAAACAAGTTTCAAACAAGAATGTGTGCATATAACTAGCCCATAGGCAAAAATTGCCATGTTTAGCCAAACTACACCACATCTATTTTTGTTAATGGAAAGGAGTGCATGATTTGCATGTTTCTCTGACAGTATTTCTCTTTATGGATGAATGTAGTACTGTAGGAAAAAAACAGCTTAGCATCTGCTGTGTTTGCATTTTTCCCCCTTTTGATGTTTTTAATTTGCATATATGAGCACAAAATTGAGCTGTCTGCCAGTAACTTTTTTAAAAGTCAATATTTGTACCATTCCTTTAAAAAACAATTTGCAGACCATGTCATTTATTTGTCATATTTTACTGAACTGACTCTTAAACTAAAAAGGGAGTATGCACCTAAGGAACCACCTTATGTCCCATCATGGGCCCTAAAATTACCTGAGAGGCACCTCTTGCAAGTTCCATCTCTGTATCAAGTTTGTTTAGCAAAATAATGTACCGACTTATCCTTAGTATTTGCTTTTCAGTTTTGGAATGCCCTACTCCCAGAAGCCTGTCAGATCCTAAGCCTGGGCATCTTCTGGACTCCTAGACCCTTTGTTACAGCAGCATTTAGTGGGTAAGTTAAGTTCTGGGATATTGTTCAGGGCACTTTGGCAAGAGATCTTTAATTACTTCATTTTAATATTTTATGTTTCTATAATTTATCTTGCTTTTATTATAAGTCCCTCAGAGCCTTTTTGAGGGAGAGTGGCATATAAATAAAATAAATAAATAAAATATTACGATGCATAGTTGTGCGTATTTCTTTCTGAAAGGGAAATTACAGATGACAACCTCACAAACATTCTTTGGATTTATTTACTAGCAATGCTGCTATAATATGTCTTTGTTCAGTTTGATTTTTTCTGCACATTTTCTCTCCTATTTCCACTTTTCCATTTTGTCTGTTTAGCAAAAGTTAGATAAAGGAGTTATATAATTTCATAGTAGCTAGGGTCAGTTAGACAGGTCGCCCTCCCCGGCGCCATCTTTCTGGTCATCTACACCTCACGTGGGGCGCCCTTGGGGCCTGCTCTGTAATTCTTCAGTCCCACCCTAATCTCTCCTGCCATGTCTTGATGGAATTTTTTTTTTTTTTTGAGAGGGAGACTGCCTATTATTTTGGGTATGTTGGGGTCTCGCTTATTATGGCTTGACCCCTGTTTTCTCTGGCCAGGCCTCCCTGTCCGAGCCCATTAAACAGGGTTTGACTCTGAGGCTCTAGCTTTTCCTGCTCCCTTATAGAGCCTGGTACTCCCTGGCCCAAAGGTATGGAAGCCAGACCCACAGCCAGTGGGTTACGGGTTTAAAACCCAGGTGCAACACAACCTGCCTCTGTCAGTCCAAACAAAAAAAGAAAGACAAAACACAGCCACGCTCTGGTGCTCCAGTCTTCAGCTGTCACTTTTAAAATAGTCCTTCAAATACCAGGGTTTCTGTCCCCCAAAAGCTGCACCCTCACTGGCACTGGGGTCTGTGCCCCCAAAGGTTGGCCACATCCCTTTTGAAGTGTGGCGCCCAGTACTGGACGCAGTGCTCCAACTGCAGCCTGACCAAAATCGCATAGAGGGGGAGTATCACCTCTCTGGATTGGCTTGAGATGCATCTTTGGATGCATGACAAGGTATGGCTGGCCTTGCTGGCTGTGGTCTGGCATTGGCGCCTCATGTTCATCTTGGAGTCAATAATGACTCCAAGATCCCTTTCCACCTCTGTGCTTTCAGGAGGGGAACTCCCCAGCCTGTATGTACGCTGTGGATTCCTTCTCCCAAGGTGCAGCACCCTGCATTTATCTCCATTGAACCCCATCCTATTCTCATCTGCCTACTTTTGTAATCTGTCTAAATCTATTTGCAGCCTCTCCTTTCAAGTGTGTCTATCCCACCCCACATCTTAGTGTCATCAGCAAACTTGGACAGTGTGCTTTCCACCCCCTTGTTCAAGTTGCTGATGAAGATGTTAAACGGTGCGGGCCTGAGGACTGAGCCCTAGGGTACCCCACTACTCACATCTCACCAGGTTGAGTACAACCCATCCACCACTACTCTGGGTGCGCCCCATCAGCCAATTTTTTACCCATCCAACTGTGTAGGCATCTTAACTTGCTACCAAACTCCAACTATTGTAGTGCCACCATGTCAAGTTACTATGGGGGGGGGCACATGGCATTTTGGTTAAGGTACTTGACTTGAACTCAGAATACCTGGATTGTATTCACTGCTTTTCCCTCTCTCTTTTGAATCCCTCAGAAAATTCCCTAGGGTGGGATTTCCAAAAATGACCTAAGTGACATCCCAGTCCCTACTGCAAATTCCATCCTTAAACCCTTTGTGCCCAAGTTGCACATCTGGGAGATAAGTATAATAACATTTCACCTTATCAAGTTATAAGGATACTATCACTAATGTGTTATGGCACTTATAGGATGGGGTTTATGTATCCAAACACATAGGAATTCTAAAGTAATTTGACAGTGATCAAAACATTCTTTTTACAATATGCTTTTACTATCTCAGGGTCCTTGTTGGATAGGAACACCTGAGATATTTAACAAACATATTGTTGCACTGAACTTGTGAATGCTTAAAACTTCAACTTTGGACATTTCAGTGATTTACTGGAGTTACGTAATTTTATCATCTGCCAAATATGTTATCACCCAAGAGAAAGTAGATGTGGACATTGGATCAAAGAAAAATAGGGTTGGAAGAGACGTCACAATGTTACCTAATCCAACCCCAGCTCAAGGTAGGAACATCCCTGACTGAACCATCCCAGACAAGTGTCTTTCTAACCTGCTCTTGAAAAAATGCCAGGGATAGAGATTCCATAGTTTCTCTAGATATCCTGTTCCAATGCTTGACCACCCTTTCTTGGTTTGAAAGAGTAAAAGTTACTTTTCTTTAAAATAAAAGTGCTGCTTTATTTCCAACAAAAACTCAGAATGTTCCTCCTGATCTCCAACCTAAATGTCCTTGGCTGCAGCTTGAGTCCTTTGCTTCTAATCCTGTCCAGTACAGTCACAAAGACAAACCCAAGTCCAACCTTTCTATAAATGCCCTTCAGATATCTGAAGACTGTTATCAAATCCCCCCTCAGTCTTCTCTTGTCCAGGCTAAATTACGCTAATTCTTTCAGCCTCAGTTTTGCATCCCAGGCCCCTAATATTTTTTTGTTGATCTCTGCTGGACTCTTTCCAATCTGCCCACAACCTTTTCAAAATGTGAGATTTAAAACAGGACACAGTACTTTTGGTGAGGCCTCACCAGTGCTGAATAGAGTGAAAGAATCATGTTCCTTCATTTGCAAGTGTGATGATTATATGGCTGTATTGTTTGTTTGGATGGTATATGTTGAAAAGGTTTCTTTGGATGGGTTTTATTCTGTCAGGGGTAATGGTTGGAATGCAGAGGGGCTGAGTGTGCCCTGGCTAGTGGCACTCCATCCTCTGGATGGCCCTGAAAGGATCCCTTACCTGAGAACTCTGGATCTTCCTACAAGCTGGTGTGTCTGAGGTGGGGAGGATACAAGTCAGGAAGTTGTAGTATGCATGTGCCTGTTCATGTTTGTGTTAGTGCCTACCAGCCTGCAGCATGTTGGAGTGTGTCCAGACAACTGTGTACCAGCGGTTCCCTGGGGATAAACAGCAGCATCAGGTAGTTGTGTTGTTGCTACTTGTCCCTATGGAAAGATTGTGCACACGCATTCTGGCACATGGCAAGTTGCCCTAGGTGGTGTAGGGGAGGCTGGGGCCACCACCTGGGCTGGCCCCAGCAGCCTTAGCTGGAGTCCTGGGGTGGTGATCCAGAGCGTGGATCCTGGGTGGTAGCCAGAATGTGGCTCCAGCCAGCCAGGCTCCGGTTTCAGGAGGCGTATGCTTGCCGCCACATCTACATTTGCCATGCCACTTTTTTCAGGTGCGGCTTTTTTTGACACTGGGATCTCCTGGTATCAAAAAAACCTGCTGTGCTGCAAATTAGCAGTGTGGTGAATGCCTGCATATATGGCATGTGTGGTTTGCAGCACCACATACAACACATGTGCGCTCATCTGGATGCACCCCTGGAGTCCTTGGAAGCCTGCTGGTGTGAAGCCCCAGAGAGTGGAGACAGATGGAGTCTGACATGTGAGGACAGCAACTGAAAAGGCTGGAGCAAAGGAGCAGAGTGAAAAGCGTTAGGAGGTAATAGGCTTTAAACATTTATTTAGATTTCATAGATTTCATAGACGTTAGGGCTGGAAGGGATGTCAAAGATCATCAAGTCCAGCCCCCCAGGGGCAAGAAGCCAGCTAGGGTCAGAGAATCCCAGCAAGATAAACATCCAAAAGTTTCTTGAATTAATCCAGAGTAGGTGCCTGCACAACTTCTGGAGGGAGTCTATTCCAGGTCTTGGGGACACAGACAGTAAAGAAATTTTTTCTTATGCCCAGCCTAGAATGGTCTTGGAGGAGTTTATGATTGTTGGTCCTTGTTTTTCCCTGGGGTACTCTGGTGAACAGACGTTCTCCCAGATCCTAATGTACACCCCTTATGTACTTATAAGCAGCCACCAGGTCCCCCCTGAGCCTGTGCTTTTCCAGACTGAAGAGTCCCATGGCTCTCAGCCTCTTTTCATAAGGCCTGTTCTCCTGCCCTCTGATCATGTGCGAGGCTCTCCTCTGAACTCCCTCGAGTTTCTTGACATCCTTCTTGAATTGCAGAGCCCAGAATTGGATGCAGTACTCCAGCTGTGGCCTCACCAAGGCCAAGTACAGGGGGAGGATGACATCCTGAGATTTACTTGAGAAGCATCTATGGGTGCAAGACAGAGTTTTGTTTGCTTTACCAGCTGCAACATCACATTGGTGGCTCATGTTCATCTTGTGGCTGATCATGACCCCCAAGTCTCTTTCAGCCAGGATGCTAGCAAGCGTAACACTGCTGAACCTATTAGTATGCTGCGGGGTTTTTTTCCCTGAGGTGAAGTACCTTACATTTATCTGTATTGAACCTCATCGGGTTTGTGTCCTCCCACTTACTAA